GAGATGTTCCAGTCCTCTTAGTAACTTCGTCGCCTCCTCTGGATTTGCTCCAACAGTTCCATGTCCTTCTTATGCTGAGGACACCAGAACTGTGTGCAGTATTCCAGGTGTGGTCTCAGGAGAGCAGAGTAGAGGGGAAGCATCACCTCTTTTGACCTGCTGCCCACACTCCTTTTGATGCAGCCCAGAATTGGATTGGCTTTCTAGGCTGAGCTTACACTGCAGCTCATGGTGAGTTTCTCAGAATATGCTAAGAAAGCGATGCCAGTTCTGTTCTGCCTCTCTGGGTATGTTCTGCTCTGGCTTTCTAACAGCAAAATGAAACAGGCACTCAACACCCATCCCTGAAGCTATAAGAGAATGCACAGATAAATCACTCACCAACTGCAGCACAAGCCCTGGCAGATGCCTCTCTCCATAACAGAACCACTACTGGGAACCAGAGCTGTGCTTATGAACCAAATGTGGTCGTGGGTATTTTCCTGCCACAAAGCCTTTCCCAGCTGCACATTTAACAGTAGCTTCTTTTTTTTTTTTTAATTGAGCATCATGTATGAATTTCTCAGAGGAACAAAACAACCATAATTACCAAATCAGAATGTAATCACAGAATTACATTAAGCAATGACTCACATTAAAACCTGCTGATGAATTCTCATGGTGGAAAGTCATTCTCAGATGCTTAAAAGATTGGATTTATCAAGAAGGTAAATCAGCTAGTCCATTAAGATAATTTCAAAGATTAAAGTGTTTATTCATAAACTAAATGTGCAAGCCTGTATGTTCATAGTGCCATGTACAAATGTAAGCACAAAATATGTACATACATAGAAATAATTGTTGAGATTTTTGTTACTCAGTGAAACAAGGACAGTCACTTTAGGAACATCCTTTCCCTAACTAAAATCATACCTTATCTTTTCTGCTTACCCAGATCTATGATTGGGACCTGACTTGACTGAGTTACCTTGACCATGTGAGACATCCTGTGTGTATGCATGATTGGCATTGATGTGCTGTAACATTTGCTGCTGGAGTTATTTGGGGATAGTACAGACTCAAATGCTGAAAAGCAGCAGTGACTTGGGAATTATTTATGACAAGAAGCCATGGAGCTGACATGGCTTTCCTGCCCTTCTCCATGTTCACTTCAAGTCCCCCTCTCTCAGCCCTCCAAAGGAACATGCTGGTCTTGCTGCACACCAGGCTGGTTTTTATCTCCAAGTTGTGTTTCTGTAACACTGCCCAGTTCTGTTCCTTGCCCAAATTGAAAATACACAGGTCAGTGTCCCTTTGGTTGATGATACCCTAACCATTGCACCTGGCATCATCTGTGGGGTGATCTGTTCCCATTTGGGGTGAGTGGCACTGCCAACATCAACATCTTAGGTCATATGCTTATCTCAAACATTTGCATTTTTGTTTTCCTTAGTATAAACTTTGCATTCCTGACTGCTTATGGTTTGAGTCTGTCACTTTAGCAGCTTCAGCCAAGGGCAAGTTAGAGGTTAGCAAAGCTTTTTTTGCTAGATAGTTTTTCATATATTGGTCAAATTGTTGCTAGAAAAGTAAGTACTTGAATACTATTGTTCCTTTTTGCCTCTTAGGCTTTTTCCTACACATAATTTCTCTTCTCAGCACCATATTTCCTAGTACTATCAGTAGCAAATGTATTTTGTCTCCGTTGTAAATCAGAAGGCTGTGTGAACATCTGTTGAATGTAGAATGAGCCTCTGAGTGACCTTCTGTTCCCCTTGAGATCTGTTTTGCTTTAGGACAGTTTCATTTGTCTCTTTATCTCCATGCTGTCTGTGCTCAATTTTTGCTTTTGGCATCTGCTTTGCTGCTTCCTCATTGCTTATGTTTCCATAAGTCAGGCTCAGGCTGGTTTTTCACTTCCCTAAAGAGTGAAAAACATTGATTTTTATAGTTTCTGCTTCTGATCCTTTGAACTCTTGAATAGTAGCAAAATGGCACTGAAGCATCAACTTGAGTAATCAGCTGTGTGTCCATCCTGCCAAATGTAGATGTGTCTGTTGCTGGTTCCTGGTGTGAGAGGCACCCAGAGCTGAGTTCTTGGTGAGTTTGCTGCAGCAGCTGAAGGAATTTCCACTTCCCTCTGTCAGAGGCTGTGGATCTGTCACCAGAAGGGAATTTGGAGCTGCACAACCCTCTCCTCAGTGCAGTGTCTGTGGCATCTTGCTTTAAAGATACTTTTCTCAACAGTTTAATGAGACATCAGTTACAGCAGCAAAGCATCTGAGACATGAGAGACAATTTTCTTTCATCAACTTTCTTGCTAAAGTGTGATTCCTTCAGCTGCCAGAGCAATCAGCAGGGCTCATCTGTCAGTGTCCTGAGTGGTGTCTGCAGTTTGTCAGCCGTGCAGGCCTCGTGCTCAGCCAGCACAAATGACATCAACGTGGTTGTTCATACTGGGAGTTGGGGCATTACTCATTGGGAGTGATTTGCTCACTGAGGAACATGCAAGAAAGCAGTGATTAGACACTCACAGAAGTGTATTCTGCTCTAAATGCAGAAGTTGATGGAAGTTGGTGCTGACCTAGAAATCACTGTCTGTTTTCTCTTTGAGTTCTCTTTACATTCGTATGTTTAGCTGTCTCCCTGAAGAAGGACCTAAAGGACAAAGTGTTTGGGGGAAAAAGGGAGAGGAGACTAAAGTTAAAATGACAAAGAGGCATGGACTTGAAGGAGGGGAAGTTTAGGTTAGCTATTAGAAAAAGTTTTTTCCCTGTGAGGGTGGTGAGACACTGACACAGGTTGCCCAGGGATGTGGTGGCTGCCCCAAGTGTTCAAGGCCAGGCTGGATGAGCCTTGAGCAACCTGATCTAGTGAGGAGATGTCTCTGCCCTGGGCAGGGGGTTGGGACTGGATGATTTGTAAGGTCCATTCCAACCCCAAAAATTCTGTGATTCAATGACTTCATGTCATCCAGTAAATCAAATCTAAACTAGGCAAGGAGCCTGTTTTTTGAAGATGAGAAAGCAGAGGGATGGTAAGAAATGTGGAGACATTGGCCTCTCAGAGATCAATCATCCTGCCTGAAGTGAGATTGCCTGTCCAAAGCAGGTTCCTTGTAATTTTGCTGCTGCTATGGGGCTGTCACCTTTAAAATTCAATGTAGCAGTAATTAAGAACACTATAATCCAGTCTGAAAACCAGGCTGATAATCCTCTATGAATAGCATAGGTCATCTGTAGAGTCATGCTTTGCCAACAGTACTGGCACCAAGGAGTGGGTGTACACACTGCCACATGCAGCACAGCATCCCAGCATGGTTTGGCTTGGGTGGGACCTGAAAGAACATCAACCCCTCTGCCATGGGTGGAGACACCTTCCACTTCTGTACTTCACTGTATGATGCTGATGCTCCAAGTGTGCTGGTCCAGCTGCTGAGATGATCCCTGGAGCAATTACCTGCAGCACTGCAGGAGCTGCAGCAGTTCTTACCCAGAAAGAGGATTTCTGGTGTGTTTTAGCACGTGGTGTACAGTATAGCAGCTGGTGGGGATGAGAGCCAGGGCTGCTGTTCAAGGCAGTGTCCTACAGTAGTTCTTGAACTAACAGTGCTTGGAGAGCCACTCCACAGGGAATTCCATCCTTTGATCAGGATAGTCCCCAGAAACAGTCCTTTGCAAAGGGATATTCACTGTCGATTCTAGCACACATTCCTCATCAGGGAGCTGCGGATGATACTGATGAAAGATGATCAGATTGTGCAGAGAGGCTTGGGGGGCTCTGAAGGGAAAAATAAAGTTAACTGAATCTTTAGATTCACTCTGCTCTTTAGAAGGCAAAATGCAACTGAATAGCTGACAATTTATAGCTAGAACTGATTAAACCTGCATTGACTTGGAACCATAATTAATATAAATCACTGCTCTTCAAAGGACAATTTAAAGGACTTTGTATAAAAAAGAAAAACTCAAACTCCACAATCCTAATTGGTTTCATTTGTGTTTGAAGAGTTCTTCTGACTTGCTTTTCCAGTCTTCTGACAAGCTTTTTTCTTTTTAACAGCTGCCTATAAATTAGGGCAGTTGTTTTACTGGTAGCAGTGATAGAATGAGTTCCCACAGCTCCACAGTGGGAGTAGGTCCCTAATTACTCTTATGGAATCATATAGTTGATTGGTGACAGCATGTTTTGTGTTGCTCAGAGCTTTTATATGCCTTTATATGCAGGAATCTCCCAATCTAAGCAAATTCCAGTAAAGTGTAGCTGCTGTAGGATTAGGTGGTTTCTTTTATGACCTGATTATTCCCAGTCTAGGTGCTGGATCACATGCCAAGGTTCAGGGAATTGCTCTCAGGATATTTTGTTTCAGTTTTCACATGAAAGCACTGAAACATGGGAAAATTGGTCTGGAAGGTAGGTCTGAACATGAGCTAAATGAAAAGCCTGGCTCAGGGCATGGATGTGTAAGCTGAGAGAGGCTTTAGGAGAACCCAGGGAGGAAAGGCTGTTCCGAGTGTGGTGTTTTCCTTGTTTTAAAGAAAGTGGAATCTCATTCCAGAGTGGTTAACAATGGAGCTCTTCTTCCTTGTTTCAGACATTGCAAGAGTTCTGCTTTGTGAAATGCTTTTGTAATGAGCTCACACTGTGCCTTGCATCCGTTGGCAAAGTACTTCCCAATGAGTTGAGTCCTTCTCTTTGGAGCTGAGGAAGGAAGTATGGATCAAATGATGAAAATAGATTGTTTTTTGTCCTGCAGATGGTAGAAGAAAGCGAGGAAAGGCTAACAGAGGAGCAGATCGAGTCACTACTCCAGACAGTCACCAGTATTCTTCCAGGGGATCCAGAAGAACAACAGAGAGACTCAGCTATGGCAACAGATGACAAAGCTGACCAAGCCTAGGAGTCATCAGAGCAAAGCTGGCAGCAATTGCAGCAGAAGAGAATCAGCTCATATTTTTCTGTTTTTAACTTGGTTCCAGTTTAATCCTGTATTGGACATCATTGTAAAATATGTTAGAATTTTTATTTCTTGGAGGTGATGAGGGAACCAATTGTTTACAAGAAAGCATGGAAAAGCACACTATTGTTTTGGTATTTTGTCATAAGCAGGGACTGAGTTTGTAATGGAGCAGCCTGAGAAGTCATGGGACACAAGATCTGAAGCTTTGGTAATTTTTCCAGCTGTACATTTGAATGGGCCTATATACAGCTGGCAATGTTTTAATTATGCAGCAGTACTGTAATGGTAATTGCTTTCATAAGCTTTTGAATTGCCCAACTGGTTTCAGAACAGGGGCTGCGATGCAGAGCCAGCTTTTGGGGCTGTTTGGGAAAAGGGCTGTGTTCAGTGAGCAGAACAGAGAGATGTACAAGAGCTGCTTGGTGTCTGGCCAGACACTTTCAAGTAGGCTGTTGGCATCGTGGAAATGAGAGGATGTGTTGGAGGGTAACTGTTCTCAAGGATGTCTGACAGTCCCTCCTTGAGTAAAGAGAGATCCAGATCATCAGCCAAGTCGGCAGATTTGCCACTGGAACCAGCGAGCTGGGCCAGTTTAGAGCAGTTGAGGCTGTGGATTCAAATGTTACAGCTCTGAGTAACACAGACAGCAGAACACTGAGGTGTGTATTTTCCCTCTGAATGTTTGTTCTAGTGCTATATAAAGACAAGTCAGTCCTGTGAATATGCTGTTGGTGGTGGAATAAATGAGTCAACCCAGAGGTCCTAATCTGGTTTCGAAGAATGAGAGTCAGTCCTGGTTAAAGCAGAATTTGCTCTGTATTGAGCTTTTGTGTGAGTCAGGATTTCAGGATCAAGTATTTAATGCTGAAAGCTTTGATGAGTATAAGAAATTATTTGTGTGGATCTGTATATACAGAGTCATGAGTGACTGTGGCACTGGTTTATGTTATGGCTGCAAACCATTCTTTGATCATTATCATGATGTATTGGAGATAGAAATACAAGTTGAAGTACATCCTGGGAATTTTGTGACTTAGAGACAGGGTATAAGACCTCAAATCAGAATATCTGACTTTTCCTTCCCTCATGGTTTTATTTTGTGTTTTTATGTAAAGAATTTATGCTCTCTGAGCTTTACTTGTGCTGTATGTGAAAGGAACTGATAAATTCCAGTGTCTGGGGGATTTGTGATACATGTTTCCATGGTATTTAAGCTTCTTTGATATTTGGAGAGGAAAGAAATGATTGGAAAATGTATTTGTTACCTCTTAAAGATAATTTATCTTAGATTAAGTACCTTCCAAGGCTGGAGACTAAAGGTGTCTCTGGACTAGGTAAGTGTACTGTTAGAGGGGGAAAGTCCTTGGTGGTTTTGTGATCCACCAATATATATTTTTCTCTCTCAATGTGCAAGAAAACAATAGAAATAAGTGGATCGTGTCACAGAATGACATACAATTCATTTTAAAATTGGCATTTTTATTCCTAGCAGTCACTGATGTTGTGTGACATGCTGTGGCCTTGGCCTGCAAGTGTTTATGTTTAGATCTGTACTTGGCTAAAATTAAGTTACTGAAGTATGTTCTAAACTTACAAAAAGCAGATGGAACCAGATCCTGAGTATCTTTAGCCAGCAAGAATATTTTAACAGATCCCTGAAGTTGGATGTTCCATCTTGGGAGTCGCTGATTTGTTATCACAATGGATTTTTGCCAATATCCATGTTGTCTTGTCGTGTGGGTATTGTACAAGGTACAAGAACTGGTTCACTTGCTGTTGTATTTAACCTTTTTATCAGTATCAGTTCCAGATGGATCCATCTGTTAACCTTGGGCAAGGGATGGGTCATCTGGTCGGACTCAATTAAGTTGCATAAACCATAATTTCCCTAAAAATGCAACATTAAATAACATTGGAACAGAGCTGGGATTTTGACATCTGTATTACATCAAGAATTGGTTTTCAAATCTCCTCTCTGCTGGTGTCAGCACAGGTGAGGAGTTGCTCTGGCTCTCAGGGCAGGTTTTGTGCTGTGTTTAATCTTGTCTGTGTCAGAAACCTGAGATCAGAAATGCTTTATGGGAAGCAAATGTCAGCTTGCTGGTGTTACACCATTTTCCCAGCGTCCTGCAGGTTACACAAAAGATCTATCAGTCTCCCCAGGCTGCTCTTTGTGTCCTTAGCTAAGCAGTTATCTAACACCATAGCTGTGCCCTGGTAGTTCCTGGGGAGGAGAGGAGGCAGCACAGAGTGGCTGATGGTCTGTGGGTGCCAGAAAAGTACATGTGTGTCAGGCACTGAAAAGCTCAGTCCCTGCTTTTGAGAAGAAACAGCCAGAGGAGTCAGCATTTTCTGAATGTTTAAGAAGTGTGTATTATTTTGGCTTTCTCATTTCTTATCTCTTCCTCACTTTTGTTCTCTATTGTGTGTTTGGGACTTGGCAGATGGACAGCTCTGCTCAGGGCAGCTCTTGTGCTCTCCGTGGGAGAAAGGGGAATGAGCTGCCAGAATTCCTGTGCTGTTGTGATGCTTGAAAACACCTGGGGTTTCTCTTTTCATAAATTCAAGCCCAAGAAGAGCAGCTTTCCTGAGGATTCTTTGGCAGTCCTCGCTGAAGAAGTTTTATTAGAAGAAGCTTTGTTTTGTGGGAGGAGAAAGAGCTGCTGCTCCTACCTGGCTGTGCTGTGTTGCTGGGCAAGGGAAATGGATCTACTGGAAACAGATGTCTGCAGGGAATTTTGTAGAAGATACAGGAAATCCCTACTGATGAGCTGAGCAGCTTTGGTGGAGGTCACACCGTGGCAGGGCTGTGTGTGAGGCTGTGCCCAGGCTGAAGTGCAGGATTTGACAAGGAGCAAAATGCATTTGGTTTGTGTTTGTGTGATGTATTCATTAGGTAACGGTGTGAAGTCTTAATTAGAACAAGTGCTTTATTTCTGGGGTGTCAACAAAGAGAAGGGGACAGGCTTGCGAGGATTGCAGCAGGATTTTGTGTCATGCCTGTGGGTTTATTGGTTGCTTGAGGCTGGAATGGAGGTTTATGGAGTTGCTTCATGTTAGCAGCTGAGTCTGTTCCAAAAGAGGCTCCTCTGGCATGAAGGGTATGTCCCAGGGTGCTGCTGAGGTAGGGTGTTGTTGCTGATTTCTCTTGAGTTTTGCTTAGTGTTATTCCATGGGCCAAATGCATCCATAGTGCCTCTCCACTGCCTTCAGTCTGGCCCAAAACACAGAGCCACTCATGCACACTGGCTGTGCTCAGCCCCTCTGCTTCAAGCCAAGGATGAACTCTCCCAGCCCAAACTGGGATTATTCTGGATCCTGGTTTTGAAACACACACACATTTTTCCATATTGCATTTTCTATGATGAAACTTATTATTGCCTCTGCCTCCCTGTGGTGGCAGCTCTGCCACAGCAATGTGCAAACAGCACGTTCAGTATCCCAGAAATTGTTTGGCTTCCTTGGTGTGACATCCACTTCCCTGTGTTTGGACACAGCCCTCGGATGCTTCGGTCTCAGCTGGGAGCTACTGTTGTTTGAGAGACTTGTGAAATGCTTGGGGCTTTGGCAGGGGGGAAAGGAGTCAGCAGAGCCTGTGTGCACCTTGGCCTGGCCAATATCAGGCTTTTCCTACTTTTCTTTTTCATTGCTGCCCATATCCAGACTTTTCCAGCCTGTTCCTGGTACCAGTTCTCAGAGTAAAACCAAACGATGTACAGCAGAAGGACTGTGAAGAAGATCTTTTCTGCCTGAAAACTTGTCAGTATTTTTTGCTTAGTACCAGTTGGTCTCAATAGCAGCATCTGGCCCTGTGAGCATTGCCTCACTGATAAGAACATCTGTAATGATGAAATGTTCCTGGTAGTTGAGAAGGACTCATGGAAATGTCTCTACTGACTCCTCTCCAGCATGGGCAGGCAATGCTCACATGTTCACCACGTGGCAGCAGCAACTCCTCTTCATGCCTGACCCACAAAAACAAAGCCTGAGTGACAACTGTTGTCCTTTTAGGACAACGTGGTGACCAGGCAGGCACTAATACTCAGCTCCTGCTGTTCCTGGAGGTCAGTTCTTCATCCTTTGAGATTTACTCCTTTCCCAGGATGAGCAGTATTGGGTGCAGGATGCAGTGCAGGGAGCCAGTGTGGCAGGATGGGTGGTGTCTGTCCTGGTGATGGGAGATGCCCATGGATTGCTGCATGGAGCAGCATTTGGGGAGTGGGATGCAGGTGGAGAGGGGACTGCATTGCAGGATTGGTGTTTGCCACCTTGAGAGCTTCCCATGGGGTGTCCAACACCACCTGTACAGCGGAAGGAGAGTTACACGGTGCCTTTGCAGCTGGACTCTCTCAGCCAACACCAGCTCTGCCACCAGCCTGTGGCTTGGGAAAGTTTCTCTTCTCTCTGCCTTGATTTCTTCTTTGGAAAAGGCCAGTGTTTTCCCCCAAGGCCCTCAGGACCCCGAGGTGAGCCATGGGCTGGGCAGGGCTGTCGGTTCACAGGGAGGCTGACGCCTGGAGCACTGCCCAAGGGTTTGTTTAACATTTTTATGCATCCCCATGGATAAAAGAGCCTTTTGTGATAACAGCTAGGAGCTGAGGAGGCTGCAGCCCTCGACTTTCCCCTGCTTTGGGACCAGTGTGGGTGTCCCTGACATGCTGCTGTGACTGTGGTCTTGTCCTCCTGGACACGTGGGTGTCTGCTGTGCCTGGGGCTCTGCTCCCAGCTGGGCTGTCCTGACGTGGCCATGTACTTGTGTATCTGCAGAGAGCACTTGAAGGTTGTTTATTACAGGGACTTCACTTTGGAATTTCACAGGGTGAGGAGTTGCCAGACATCACAGCCTTGTGGCCCTGGGGATCACCCCAGCACGAAGGCACGTCCTGCATGTGCTGCACATCATTCCCATTGCACGTGGCAGAGGTAATGGGGAGCTGACC